AGCCCATGGGTGACAGTTCCTTCTAGGCAACCAGCCAGGGTCCTCGTGCCAGTATGTCGGCTGGGGAGGGGTGTGTGGCCGGGCAGAGAGCGGCCTGGAGGGTCCCCACCTAAAAGGGAGAAAGCGCCTCTTTCTTTTGCTCTTATAAGAAGAGAGCCCCCTCCAACACTTCTGGACAAACCATCTGTTGCAGAGAAGGGAAGAGTGGCCTGAGACCTCCCACGGGCAGGTCTGTCCAGAGGCCCCAAGAGCAGCAGCAGTACCTGAGGCCCACCAGCGGCTGCTTCTCACCTGAGCTCGTCATAGTCTGCACCGCCCACCTGCCGGCTGGCCTTGAGCAAGTCCAGGATCCCGGCGGCGCTGCTGCTGCCCTCCAGCTGGTCATCGCCAGAGCCGTCCTCCTCTTCTTCTGTGGTGTAATCCTCCTGAGAATGGAACAAGTTTCAGAGAGCCTCGGTTGGCAATTCACCTATTAAGTTTATATCCTGCTTCTCTGTGCACTGTGTCCGATAGCAGCAGAGGCAGAGCTCTCTTTCCCACCCTCCTTAAGAGGAACCTGAGCAGCCAGGCTGCAAGAGTGGAGGAAATATTCAAACAAGCGCACAGGAACTGGTCTGCACCCCACAAAACCTAGTAAAGGGAGAAGTGGCTTGTTCCCCTAGAGGTTGAAGCCCAGCGTTGAGGGACAGAGAAGGAGCCTCAGGAGAACTCATGGTTCTTCTGCTGCTCGTCACTGTTGGAGGAGGAAAATGATTCAGAAAGTCAGGGCGACTGATGCCTGTCCCAGAGCATCAGTCTTCAGAAAAGGGCAGTGGCCACGTTTCAGACTAAGCTTCTTCTCTCCACTTAGGAGGTACAAAAAGAAAGGTTATTAAAAACACACACTTTGCACACTTCCCCGCTGATCTAGTCATTCTTTTGACTTTAGGCAGTAACAATAACAAAGGCACATTTCAAAAAAACAATAAAAGCACATTTTTAATGTTTGATGTCTTCTTGTGTTTTAATTTGTTGGAAGTTGCCCAGAGTGGCTGGGCAAACCCAGTCAGATGGGTGGCATAAACAAACAAACAAAACTAATAATAATAATGATTATAATAAAATGAAAACAAGAGCAAACGTGTGAATCTTGCTGTGGCCTGCCCCCTTCAACTCCAGAAAAATCCCTGAAATGGCCATCCTGACATGAACTGCTAATGATTAAGTGGCATAAGAATGCCTTAAAATAAATAAACAAACTTACTGCTTACTTCCCTGGAGCAGCCATGGTGAGGCCACGACCCTCCAGATGTCAGACTCAAACTTCCAGGGAGATCGTAACCTAAACGAAGCCTTACTTCTGCTAGCACAACATTCCTGAAGTCCCAAGCCCAACTTACCTCAATGTCAAACTCTACTTCCCCTGGCTCTCGCACTCTGTTTGGGTCGGAGCAGGGCTTGGCTCGTGGCAACTTCCGGGGAAATTCTTGAAGCAAAAGACAGCAAATGTTAAATTAACTATTGGACACAAAGGAGTAGGGATTGGGAGCTGTGACAGAAGCATACCAGCATCTCCAAGGGAAGGGGCAACTATTGCATAGACCCACCAGATGATTGCAGTGCAACACCTGTGATCTGGGAGAGGGCAAGGACCAAGCAGGTACAGGATCGGGCTGCCAGTTTGTCATTTAGCCAGGCAGAGACTTTGGAAATTCCACGATATTGCTGCTAATAATGCCTGAAGCAGGAGTTGGGCGGGAAGGGGGGGGTGAGGTGTAGCCTCTTTGGAAGATGAATATGACAAAGAGGAGGGCAGAACTTGTTCAACAAGCCGCTGAAGATGAGTGACAGGAAAAGTTCCTTGAAAGCAGGAAGCAGAGAAGGGCAAACTCTATAGAGTTGTGCACATATACTGCAATTCCACAGAAGCACAAAAAGAATCAAGAATGTGAAATGCTCCCAATTCTTTAAACTTTAATGTTAATTTTGTTCCTTAAAAGCAAGCTCCTAGACCAGGGGTCAGCAAACTTTTTTTGCAGGGGGCCGGTCCACTGTCCCTCAGACCTTGTGGGGGGCCGGACTATATTTTGAAGGGGGAAAAAGAATGAATTCCTTTGCTCCACAAATAACCCAGAGATGCATTTTAAATAAAAGAACACATTCTACTCATGTAAAAACACGCTGATTCCCGGACCATCCGTGGGCCGGATTTAGAAGGCGATTGGGCCGGATCTGGCCCCCAGGCCTTAGTTTGCCTACCCATGTCCTAGACCTTATACTCATGCCTGCCAATAAATGCTTCTAACTGTGTACAAAAGTGCCTGTTAAATCTCAGAAGTTTTTATCCCCGTTTGCTTTTTGATGAGAGGTCAAGATGGACCTCTTCTTTTCCCTCCTCCTGCAATGCTCACTTGTGCTCCTGCTTTGCTAAGCTGATCGTTGTTGCTTTTGCATATTTTTTATTTTAATTGTGATGTTTTTCTAACCCACCCGGGGCCATTTGGTGAAGGGCAGGCTATAGCACCAAAAGAGTTAAATGTGTTTTTTCACAACCCGAGAGAGACGTGACAGGCAGAGAGACAGAAGGAGGGGAAAGGAATGAGACATACTGGGCAGCCTCTTGTGCAGCACCAGGCTCCTTCTCTCCCTGCGCGGTGTCTCATCGATCTGCAGGTCCTCCTCAGAGTCCATATCAGGAGCTTCAGCATCGGATGGGCTGCGGGGAACTTGTGCCAGTGCCCCTTTATGGCTCCGGCTGCGTTCAGAGGCCTTGATTTTCCTGCTAGGAGAAAACATTACCACTGGTCAGGCACGTGCCTCTCATGGCCCTGATCCAACAGCTGCTGTACACAGCTCGGTATTGTTTTGGGTGCCCCATACCATTTTCTCTGTACAAATATCTGTACATCACGAAAATCTGCCTTTACACTTGATTGTTGGCTCGGCTCTAATGGAGGAGCCATGTAGGAGGGGAAAGAACACTGGGTTGTATCCAATGTTAGCTGTGTCCATCAGTATCAATGGTCTACCCTGAGTCAAATTTAGTTGGATACAACCCCATTCTTATTTCCCACCCCAGTGGCACCACTCCTTGGGGGATGGAAAATGCTGATTTGGGAAAGAATCACATTGTTCCTGTCACCAAAAGCTGGAAGACCTAAGTTCAAATTCCCACAGAGCCATTGAGCTCTGTGGACAGCCTTGAGCCACTCACAGCCTCCACCTCACAGGGTAAAAATGGGAAAGGAGAAAAAGCAGGTCCACTACTCTGGGCAACTTGGAGGAAATAATGGGCTAGATTTGTCCCTATGGTTGGTAGTGTAGTGAAGTGGGACCTGGTCCCAGGGAACTCCCCTGCTCTGCCACTGGTCAGCTATTTAAAGGGGGGGGCACATATTATTTTGAAGTGGGCAAGGGCAAAAAAAGGGAAGGCAGCATTGTCTCTGCCCACTGGCTCACTTCCATGTTAGCCAAGGCAAAGGTAAAGACAGCTTTTACTCTCTCTCCTACAGTGGGAACAGCAACTGCAGCAAGGATGGCTAAATTGTGGCCCTCGAGATGTTGCTGGCCTCCATCTCCCAACAGCGTCAGCCAGAAGAGAAGTGGCAGAGATTGTGGAAGCTGCAGTTCCACAACTTAGGGAGGCCACCAGGTTCAACCCCCATCCCACCCGCCTAATTCTAAAAACTTGGGCAGAGCTGCTTCCTGGCAGTGTTTTCTATCTCCTCATACCCTGTGTCTTGGCAGCAGGGGCTTGAGGTGTATTAAGTGGGGAAGTCCCACGGCTGCTGCCATAACTCCTTTTGATGCCTTTGCTTGTGCCTCAGCCTGGAAAGTGGTGGGTGTAGGCCAGGGATCAGCAAACTTTTTCAGCAGGGGGCCGGTCCATTGTCCCTCAGACCTTGTGGGGGGCTGGACTATATTGGGGGGGGGAATGAATGAATTCCTGTGCCCCACAAATAACCCAGAGGTGCATTTTAAATCAAAGGGCACATTCTACGGACCGTCCGTGGGCCAGACTGAGGAGGTGATTGGGCTGGATCCGGCCCTCGGGCCTTAGTTTGCCTACCCATGGTGTAGGCACAGTTCTTGAGATCCAGGGCTATGGAAGGGTGGCGGATTTGGCCCTCTCAAGCTTCTAATTGACAATCTCTGAGGTAACCCCTAGGCAGCGGTGAAGGTGGCAGGCCAGTATTGCTGGAACTTCACCAGCTCAGCTCTCCATTCTGTCTCCCTTTCCCATCCCGCCCGGCCCCTCTTGCACTTCATAACGCAGGCACAGAAAAGCGAACCTGGCGCCCCGGCCGTTGGCGACCATCATGGGCAGCTCCTCCTCCGTCAGGTCGGGTTCCCCATCTGTGTCTTCCAGGCTGGAACTTGGCAGGTCAAACTGGAAAGGGAAAGGTGGGTGGGCTACAGGAGGCCAGAAGGGGGTGACGCTATACGCTAATCAGAAAGCGAGTTCAAAGCTTCAGGAGACAGGTACCCCCTTCCCCCAATCCACCTGGACTCAAAACTCGCCTTCTGGAGAACCCCACTGCGCAGCCCCCTCAGCGTACGCGCAGCACAGTCACAATGGCAGCTCACCTCCTCCTGGCCTGGACTCTCTGCTTTCAGGGCCTGCTGCTTGTATTTGTCCAGTAGCTCCTGCTCCAAGGCTTTGACCGAGGCAACGTACTTCCGGCTGGCCTTCTGCTGGCTCAGCTCCTTGGGGCTCTGGTCTCCCCTTTTGGTGGCTGCACCAGGCTGGGTACCCCTCTGCAATCCAAATGGGCTGCCTGTCTTCCCAATGTTCTGCTGGAATATATCCTGGAAGAGCGTGAGCATCAGAACCCAAAGGAGACATCGCTCCCGCTCCCCCCCCCCAGCCCTTAACGTAGACCTGATGCTAGGAAATGCTGCTGGGCTGGGCCCTGCCTTCTGCTGCGCTTCACAAAGCAAGAGGGAGGCATTTGCCAGTCGGAAGAAACTGTCTGGTATCCCCCCAGGACAGAAAGACCAAGCTTGCAAGTCCTCTGTGCATGTGTTTGGGCTGCCAGAATATATGCTTTTCTCTACGGTGTGGTATAAACAGCCAGGCTACAGTCTCTGCCATGGCTGCTCTGAGCACACCGCAAACATGATCCAGCAAGCTGTGGAATTACTGGCCAAAGAGCCAATGGGATGAGCCCCTGTTCCCTCACATGGGTGAAGTGAAAGTTGAACCGGGTCCTTTCTGAGCTCTCACTCTTGGCCACTAAGTTACACTCAGTCAGACGCAGTGTGGGGTCTGCTTGCAAGGGAACACTCCAGCCTCTAAGGGGTATATCAACTCAGGAGCAGAGATGCCAACCTATTGATTCAAAAGGCTAACTGGAACTAGCAGATCTGCCGGCAACAGGCACACTCGCAACCACCCAGGGCTTCTGTTTCAAGCAGCGCAGCATGGAAGCACAATGACCTGCGAGCACATCTCCTATTTGGAAGGAGCCACATCTTATAAGCTGCAGGGAACAAGATGCGACAGCCATCCAGACATTCATCGCAAGGAATACTGCAGGGGACTTAGTTCCTCTTTAACAAGGCACCAACATACCTGCAACAATCCCCAAAGTGCAGCGCTAGTCAACAGACCTACCAGGTGCTGGCTCTAAGCTATACCGGGCTGTTTATAGTACAGTGGTACCTCGCAAGACGAATGCCTCGCAAGACAAAAAACTCGCTAGACGAAAGGGTTTTTTGTTTTTTGAGCTGCTTCGCAAGACGATTTCCCCTAAGGGCTTGCTTCGCAAGACGGAAACATCTTGCAAGTTTGTTTCCTTTTTCTTAACACCGTTAATACAGTTGTGACTTGACTTCGAGGAGCAACTCATAGAATGCGGTGTGGTAGCCTTTTTTGAGGTTTTTAAAGACTTTGGTGATTTTTGAAGCTTTTCCAAAACTTTCCCGACACCGTGCTTTGCAAGACGAAAAAAATCGCAAGACGACAAAACTCGCGGAACGAATTAATTTCGTCTTGCGAGGCACCACTGTATATCCTGCAGGCAGCTGTAATAAACTGTGGCAAACCCTCATCTACTGGTCTGCCCAAATAATGTAAGAATAGCCTGCTGGATTAGGCCAAGGGCCCACCTGGTCCAGCATCCTGTTCTCACAGGAAACCAGCAAGCGGAACCTGAGCACAAGAGCCCTCTCTCCTCCCGTGATTTCCAGCAACTGGTCTTCAGAAGCACGGCTGCCTCCAGCTGCAAAGGTACAGCACAGCCATCCTGGCTCTTAGCCAGACAGCCCTGCATGAATTTCTCTAATCGTCTTTTAAAGCCATCCAAGTTGGTGGCCATCCTTTTTTTTATACGATACGATAATCTTTATTGTCATTGTCCCATACAGAACAACGAAATTGAAAAAATCAACATCAGACATTCAAAAACCAACAAGCCTGCTATCCCAGTCTGGTTAGCCCCCTAAAAACTCTGATACCCGATAATTAAATACAATATACTCCCATAGAGACTACCTTACACTGCGTTTAAAACCAAAATTGCATTTGAATAGAAACTGTTTCTCAGGCGGCTAGTCCTAGTCTTTATAAACCTGTACCTTCTTCCAGAAGGTAGAAACTGAAAGAGATCATTTCCGGGGTGCGCACTATCCTGCACTATCTCTGAAGCTTTCTTATGGCACCTGGAAGAGTGCACCCAATTATTCTCTCTGCAGTCTTTTCCTATAGCAATTGCATCTGAGATGAAAAGGGCACTCAAGGCTGGGCAGAAATGGTGCTACTCTCAACGCTGCTCCCCATCTCGAAATACAGGCCCCTCAATGCCAGGAGGAAAGGGCCCGGCTTCCTTCTCATACTTCTCATACTCACTTCCACGAGCCTGATCTCCTTGGCCAGGTCTTTGATGAGCTGTGCTGGGCGCACCGTGCCAGGGATTTCTTCCTCGTGCTCTGCCAGGGCCTGAGAAGGAGGAGAACAGATTGCTGCAAGCTCTGCCCCTCTGTGCCCAACGGAAGTGCCACTGGCAAAGGGGTGTGGCTGGCAGCAAGCACCTCTCCAGAAGGAGTGGGACTTCAGCTCCCAGCAGCCCCAACCAGCATGGCCCAGGGGTCAGGGATGGAGTTGGGAGTCCAACAACATCTGGAATGCCACAGGATCCCACCCACAACTGTCCTCCCCCTTCAAATGCTTGGGATTTGGGCCTAGACCTTGCAGAGGTGGTCAACCTGTGTCCAAGCTGCACCACTTTGGACTGAAAGCGGAGGCTCAGGACTGAATGCTTCTCCATACAAAATAAAAATGGCGTCCACAGAAAGGAAATGCGCCAGGGAGAAAGTTTATAGACTCGCTTTCTCCCTGATGTGCAGGCTGGTGGAGTCTATGAGGTGTTTTTGTCTATTCTTGACTGCTGGCAGGAGGGCAGCAACCCCACAGAAAGAGCTGTAGCTCAAGGAAGGCCATTCTTGCAACCCTTTACCTCCTTCCTTGTCCAGGAGCGGAAGGCTGTGTTCAGAGCTTTGGCCCCATGAACCAAATAAGCAGCCGGGTGTCTGCGATTCTCTCGAAGGCCTGTTGTGGGAGACAGAGCGCATTAGCAGAGTAGCTCTCATGCCCAGCAGCTTTGTGGGGGCACAGTGGGGGCACTGCATGGAGGGGAGGACTCAATACCCACCTCGGAAGATATCCAGGAGGTGTTTGCCAACATACCAGCAGATGGTTTCAAAGTTGGGAAACTTGAAGAGGTCAGCTGTGCTGAGACGCTTTTCAATCTCATAGGCTCTGGGCAGGAGGAAACAAAAAGACCAGTGAGGTTATGTATGCTCTAGGCTCCAAAACCATGGAATTCTGTGCCAGAGGAACTTAAATTTGGTGATGAGAAACACACCCCAAAACGAATTCTGTAAATTAAATCTATTTGCACAGTTTCAAATACTTTGTTCTGCTCTGCTGCCAACTGCGTGAAGGCACAAGGAGTTTCGAAGGCCACTCAAAACCCAGCTGGGCAACCTCCAGAAGCCTTCCTCAGCAATTCCGCCGGCATTATCAGTGTAGCCATAAGGACTAGAAACTGGCACTTTTAAAAACTGAAATTCACCCAGTATCCCATTCTGTGGTCTCACTGAAATCATGACATGCACACAGCTCTGGATCCAGCCGACATTGAGCAGGGGGCACAGAGTATCATGCTGAGCAGCACGTTCTGTTCTGTGATTATGTTTCTCTCCCGGCTCTGATCCCATTTAGGAACATAAAGGAAGCTTTTACACCAAGTTAGATCATTGGTCTATCTGTACAGACTGGCAGAGATTCTCCAGGGTTTCAGATCAGAGTCATTCCCACCCTTATGTGGAGACTGGATCAGGGACCTTCTGCATGCCAAAGGGTGTGCTCCACCGGTGATCGAGTCTCCTCCCTGCCATTTCCCAAGATGCCTCGCTGCAGGCCAGCAAAGCACTCCCAGCCAAACTCACTTGAGCTGCATCTCAATGTTGAGACTGTGTAGGAAGTTTCCCCCAAAGGCCAGGCAGTCAACAGGAGTCAACACAGCATGGATCCAACCTGAAAGTGGAAGGAGGAAGCAGTCACATGGACGAAGGACTGGGCCTCCCAGAAGGACTCAGGGCTTATGAGAGGAAAGGGAAAGGGTGCCCCAGCCGCTAGATGCAGCTGGATTTCACCACATTTTGAGCTGCAGCTTACTCTGTGGCAATGCAAGTCACTCACAATGGAAGGAGAGGTGTCCCTGAGTGGGAGAAAAACAAAGGCCCCAGGAGTAGCAGTGGCCACGGAAGTGGCAGGCAGGAGCTGGAGCGACTCAATACCTGTGGGTATGAAGAGCGTCTGGCCCTGCCGGACGGGGCAGCGATAACATCGGTCCACCTGGTCCCCAAAAAACAACTCGTTCTGATTGGAAGAGCTGCTCCAGGCTTCAAAGAGGGTCAAGTTGGCAGCAGTGGGACGCACCAGATAGAAGATCTTTTCTCCCTGCGAGGAACAGATGGTAGTGAAAAGGAGCTGATATGCCACTTCTAATGTTTAGGGGCAAAAGAGCTGGCAAACAGGGCAAAAGCAGATGCTATGAAGCGCAGAGAGGGCTGGGGTAATAGAAGGAAGCATCCTGTTGCACAAGGGGGCATTTAATGTGCAGCAAGCAAACAGCACGGCTGCTATCAAGTCTGCAGAGTCCAGCTCCTTGCCTCAACCTCAAGGCAGGCTGATTTGGAGTGTCACAAATTACACAGAGGACAACCACAATGCTTGTTGTGTTTTTCCCCTGTGCTTGTATGGAATTGTGACACACACACCCCCAGCCAGGTCTACTTTCCTGCCATTCAAACAATGTTTATTGGCCTGTAGATGTCAAAAAAATCCTATAATTTCTGACATCCTTTAAAGCACCTGAAATTTACCTATTCCATTCTTAATCCTCTTTCTTCTCTGAACTCAACATACTCTGTTTCTTCAGCCTCCGTCTATGGGGGCTTCAACCACCTAACAAGAGGCGGTTATTGCCAGAAAAGAAAATGAAGTAGAGTACCAGCTCCAGAAATGGAGCAGCAGCAGTAAAAACAGCCAGCAGCTTCTGGAGTAAGGATGGAACAGGAGATGTGAAGATCAAACCGGAAGCAAGAAATCGCTCCCTGCTGCTCCGTTTTGCTAGGCCTGGCAGAAGCCTCATGATGCCCTTCAGGAGCTTCCAAACAAGCCCATATTGCTAAGCAAACTGCTTAGCTTCATTCCTCATAGAACAGAAAGCATAAACACAAGGACAGCAGACTCATCTGACTGTATACCAGTTGCCACCTCAGACTCCAGGCCTGGTGCTCCAGGCTATTTTTTATCCTCCTACTCAGCCAAATGGCTCTTGAACCCTTCACCCCAATATGCCACCTTAGCATGTGCAAAATGGATTTCTTTCAAAAAGAAAATATTTGGGGAGAGGGTGGGAAACAGACAATGAAACATTCAACCATCACCCGGAATCTGAAGTGGAAATAGATCCGGGAGGTCTGCTGGTTCTGTGGCTCAGCTCTAAGATCACCCCCATGCCTTCATATTCTTACCCGCAACACATGGTACCAGACAGAGGTGCCACCAAAGTCAATGTGGAAGTCCGTGTAGCTGTCTCGCACCC